CGATTGATAAGTAATACTATTTTATCACTTGATTTGTCATCTCATTCACTACACAATAACAACACATTAAATGAAACATTGAAATCATAATTTGTAATCACATCTTAAGCAGTATTACATGGGAACGGTATGTTTGGTAGGTAGGTGCTATGAGAAAAACTATGACAATAATAAAATATTGCATAAAAGACTCAACACTTTCCTAAATTTATTGAACGCAGACTCAAATCAGCGATCATTTTGACGATAAGAAAAGTTTTTTGAATCTACTTTTGCTGCATTCAATGCATTCATACACACGATCATTGCAAATACCATAACATAGTGTTTGCAGTTGAGCTCAACATTGCATTCATAATAACATTCAAAGTATGGCTTCAAGTCTTTACAAACAGAGGTGTGTTTTTTGACAATTTGTGCAATTTTTAGTGACAATTTTGATTTAGTGCATGAATTTCATAGCAAACCTTTTCTCTCACTTTTCTCTCATATACTGTATTTGTTTAACAAATGATCGTATAATCCAATTGTGTGTGTCTTGTATGCCATTGTCAAGTGTATTGAGTCTAGCGTTCAAAATAAGGCCCAAAATATTCATATGAGGCTTATCTCGCAATGAAATGATGTTTAATTTCATGATATGTTTACTCAACGCTTCTGTTGTTATTTATTCAATTGAATTCAATATTTCAACACCTAGTTTATTTTCAATATTAATTTTATGCCACTTTCGTAAACTAAGCTTATTTTGCCCACAAATTAATGCATTCAATATTTTATGTAATATTAGTCCTTAATATCCATTACGATATCTATCATCACATCTACAGACAAACACTTTGCGATAAAAAACTTTTTTGTTTGGTTTATAATTCACACAAATCATTGTTATATTTAATTAAAGCACTTATTATTAATCACTTTTTGTCGCAATCACTCCCTAATCACATGAGAGCTAAATATATAGTATTAATAATGCAATCATAAAACATAATATCAATAAGTTTTGGCATTTTATTGAATTTTTCATGAATTCATTTCATTAACCCAAAGGCTATTCAAATTTAACGAATTGTTGGAAACGACTAAAGATGAGGGCGAAGACACCACTAATGGGGTAGTGATTGACACGAGAAGTCTTCGGGAGCTGTGTTTCGAAGTCGGCTGTCCTGATGACCAGAAACACA